TTTTGACCCTATTCTAACCTTGATGCTTTCAATCCCCAAGCATATCTTTAAAATAATTCTTTTTATTGAATAAATAACATTACAGAAAGAAAAACACAGAACTTCCTCCCTCGGCATAGCAACTGTCAGTTTTTTGATGACTTCTTCCGATCCTTACTAACACATAGATAGCTTCACAGAGTTGTAACCAATGAATATGTGCCACTTGTGTTTATCTTTTTGGCTTATAAATACCTCTCTTTCATGTATCTACTTATTATTTTAAAGGTTACCTGCTGTTAGATGAAATTGGTATCTACAGCTCACTTCACCATTTGGATTGTTTCTAGTCTTCCACAACTATAAACAATGCTACCAGAAAGTTCTTTGTATAATTTTTAAAAATATTTCCTTATGCCAAGGAACTTGTGTGACCGTTTTTACAGCTCTTGTTACATTTTACCAGATCACCCCTCTGAAAATATTAAATGGACAAAAAATAAATCCCTTGCATTTTTAGTGTTTTACAACTTACAAAGCACTTTCACAAACATAGCTTTGTTTAATCCTGCTATCAGCACTGCGGGATAGATTTTTTTCCTTGAAAGTTCTTTAGCACTGGGGTTTAATCATTTTGCTGATGTAATGAGCAAGATGAACCCCCATGAAAGGTGTGATGCAAGAAGCCGAGGTAATCAACTAGATTGATAAATATGTTGGTAAGCCTAAATAAATAATGCTGGTTAAAAAATAACTTATTTAGGGGATTTCAAGACAATGAGGAACACAAATAGTAAACAATTATAATGTGGGAGATACAGTGATCAGAGTTGATGCATTTTATTTTTCTTGTGCTGTTTAGAAATTTCCCGATGATATTAAATTTAGGGCAACCCTGTCAGGTACCCTCCCTCTTCGGGAACTTTGTACTATCCCTCAATAAATTTTACTATCGCTCGATTAAAAAAAAAGATATTAACTTTAGATTTCAAAATAGGCATGTGAAAAATATAAGAGGAACCACTAAAAGAACAGGAATAGAATGTACAACTTCCAAGCCAGTAGAATAAAACAAGGGCCAAAAAAAAGCTCAATCAATCCAGAAACCAGGAAAGGAGAGAAAGAAACAAAGAAAAAGCACAGAAAGAGATATGAGAAATACATCCAAATTTATCATGAATCACAGTAATAAAAACAGAGTAAACTCATCTATTGAAAGGCAGATACTGTAAAATTCTACCAAAAATCGTCTCTCTGCTGTTTTCAGGAGATATACTTCACGTAAAATGACACTAAAAGGTTGAAAATCAAGGGATAGAAAGATATACTGGACAAACAGTAATCAAAAGAAAGCTAATGTATCAATATCAATACCAGAAAAAGAATTTGTGTCAGAAAGTACTATACAGAAAAAGAGATTCACTAGTAAGTATAAAATAGTATCTCATAGTAGATTTATTTTTCATTTCATTAATTATGATATAAGCAAAATAAAACATTTTCCAGTAATAGCTTACTGAGAAATAGGAACTTGACTAGTTTGCTTTTTCAGTTCTTTTTATTTTAGGGATTAATCATTTTTATTGCAGTTCATTTCTACCCCCTTCCTCGGGTTGTTCTCTTAGTCTTATAGTTTCCTATAAAACTGTTACAAAGTTGAATTTTTTTTGTCATGGAATCTGGCTACTTTGTCATGTCAATTTTTTTCTTCAATTTGCTGTTTTTTCCTGAAGTATTTTAAAGTAAATTACAGAAAAGCATGATGCTCCATCATTAACATTTCATATGTATCTCAAAAAGGAATCATTTTCTTACATAGTAAGATACTGTCGCATCAAATATAATGAAATTAACAATAACAGTTTTTTAGCATGTAATTTCTGGACTACATTCAAATTTCCCTATGTATCCCCCAAATTCCCTTCACATCTCTATGTGCAAACAAAGATCCAAACCAGGATCATATGTTGCATCTTTTTTTAAAATAAAGTCTTTTATTTTATTTTATTTAAAGTTGGGCTCTGTGCTCAGCACAGTCTGCTTAATACTCTATCTCCCTCTCCCCCTGTTCTCCCCCTGCTCTCTCACTCTCTCTCTAAAATGAATAAATAAATCTTTTTTAAAAGTCTTTTAGAATCTACAGCAGTGCTTGTTTTAATGACACTGATCTGAGAGCCTGGGCCAGTGTCTTACAACACATTCCACCTTCCAGATTTACCTTTTCCATCCTTGTGGTGTTATTTTTATTTTTA